GCCGCAGAGGCCGTGGGCAGCTTCGCAACCCAGCGCTCAACCGCTGCGCCACCGGGGAGGCCCTATATGTGTATTTCTTAATTGCTTTACTTAGAAGTAGAGACAGAGGGGACTCTGTGTTTCTGTTCTTTTGCTCCGGTGATAGCTTTCCTGGCTAACTCTCAGAGTCGATCTCTCCTTCTGAAAATAAGCGGCATCACACAGTATAATCTGCAGCACTTCTGTGCCCCTGCACTGCTCTCCAGGGATGTGCCGAGGGCAGAACCGCTCGCCTGTGGGGTGGGTGGGTGGGTACCTGCGGATTTTCGCCCGGCAAGTGAGCAGCTGAGCTGACTGGTAAGAAATAGCCTTTGTTGCCAAGTGGAAAACTACCCAGATAGAAAAGTGTTTTTGAAACTTGTGATGTGAAGCAGAAGGAAAATCCAAATGATGGCAAAAGCTCTTGACAGTTGTCTTCTGTAATAAGTAAAAGCTGCTTTCAATTTCCTGAGTGTTGAGAAATTTACCTAGAATGAGTTAAGCACATTTTAGTGAGTGCAAAGCTCGTGTGATAGGAATGATCTTGCTGTGAGTTGCCGTTTGTCTTCGGTTTTTGTATTTTGGGTCTGCTTTCCCCATTAAATCTGAGGAGCCGCAAGTTTTATGACTCCTGCTAACAACTTGACAGGTGAACCCTACTGCCTATTGATGACTAGTCTAAACAAGGGAAGTTTGTGTTTTTGCTGTGGTAATTCATTTTATATGCCAAATAATTGTAGCTGACTGCTCACGTGATTAAAAAGCAGCTGACTTTTTTTTTTTTTTAATAGTTAAATTTTCTGTGACATCATTCTAGAAATAGCTCAACATTTTATACTGAGAATGCTTCCCATTTTTCCTGGGCTGTTGGAGGTGGACGTTCATGCTATTCCGTTACTTGTGTAAACGTTAATGCCTCCCCTGTTCCCGTCCTGTGGTGGATCCTGGGCGTGCAGAGATGTGTGGGCACGGGCCTTTGCACGTTTTAGCTAACAAAGTGAATTTCAAAATATATTTAGCAAACTTCTTTTCATTGATTTGTGTTAATGTTAAAGTGCTAATAAAGTTATTGGAAATACATGCACCTGGCATAATGTGGAGATACTTGCTCTTGCAGTCAGCTCTTCTGGCAAGTGTGTAGGCAGTGCCTGGAACCATTACTGTGTTTGTTAATGTAATCAAGTGTTAGTTTTTAATAATAATTAAGTTATTGATATATTCTGTTATTATTTTGACCAGGGGACTTTTAAAATTAAAAGGTTTTAAAATTAAAAACCCCCTGGTCAAAATATGTGCTAAGATGACACAGGCCCAGCAGAAGTGTTTTTGCCACCAGCTTATATATGCGGGTGACCCGCAGGGTAGCAGTGAGGAGGCTGGAATCCCACTTCAACAAATAGGTACACCTTGTCTCTATTCCATGGTTTAGAAAAAAATTGTGGCTTATATTTGCCAAAATTGCCATTCATTGTTCCTTTTTCTTTCAAATGTAGAAATTATTAAGCAGGAATGGATGTTTCAGAGACATAGAAACTTAAGTTGCATAAATGTTGGATATTTTACATTACAAAAGAATTGATTATATTTTTACTGGGATATTTTGACAAAATTAGTGTGTGTTCTTGCCTCTCTTCCCACCTCCAATAATTGGTATAATTAATGACAAGTCTTGAAAAAAGAATTTGGTAATCATAACTGACAGGATATTTAGCTGCAATTTTGTGTGCTTGGAAAATTTAGAACTGTTAATTGCTTCTCTGGAAGGAGCCAGAGATGAGACAGGCCGCCGGCACTGCAGGGTCGGGCCTGGGGAGCTAGAGGGAGCAGCCTGGTGGGGGGAAGGGCGCTGGGCAGCAGGGCATCAGAGGCCCCAGATTTAAACAGTGGGGCTGGTGCCTTTAGTGCCTGGATTCTAAAAACAGAACATGATCTTTAAGCTTTTAAAATATGTATGTTAAATAATAAACCAATTATTAGGATAAATGGCAAAGTTTTGTGAATTAAATTTTATGAATGTATCAAATAAATTATTGTTATTGACAGGGAACTTACCTGTTTAAGTTTGAAAAGCCAAATATCAAACAAATTTTCAACTGTATTAAACCCAATTAAATGAAATCTGATATTTCCTACTAGTCATCTTTAAAATACACAGAGACTATAGCCGTGTTTACCACCAGTTGTCTCTAAATGATGAAGTGTATTCCTACCTGCGATATCAGTGAGCTAATTTTGTAAACTATATTAAATTCTTTATTTTGTCAACATTATGCCTAAATATCTAAAATAGGATCTTTCTCTTACACATGTTAAATATTCCCATTAAGTGGTATTTTTGGCCACATTCACACAGCCATGGCCATATTTTTTTTTTTTTCTGGGGCTGGAAATTACTGTAGATTTTATTTTTTAGAACAGTTTCATATTCACAACAAAGTTGAACCCTTTTTTATACTGATCAGACATTATGGTGGTATTTGTTAAAAGATGATAATTTCTCCTCTCAGTGTCAGCACATATACAAGTATATTTTGTAATTATGTCTGCTTTTTGTAGTTCTTTTTAAAAACATTGCTATTTGTACTGTGTGTATGTAACTTCAGTATGAGATAACTTGGTAAGTGAATAGCAGTGGGTTTTTCTGGTGCACTAATGAAGAAGCAGCATTTTTGGAACCTTTTTTATATCCTGTGAGTAGGAGAGTGAATGTGTGTCTTGTGATTTGTTATTCTGTTTTTACTGCTTTGGGGATTGAGAACTTTTGTATATGCGTTTCATGTTTTGCAGCTTCAAACGGGGCAAGAATTTTTCGGTCTATTTTGAAAAGCTGTGCCAGGAATGTTTCATAAACACATGACAGAGGTGTATGCAGGTTCCTGGAGCTTCAAGGAGACATTCGTTTTCTTTGAGAAGTTTATGTGCTTCTCTGTATCATAATTTAAATAACTTCCATTCTAATTGATGCATCAATTACTAGTGAACCAGAGCTACTAAAGCATACTGTGTGATAGAGTTAACATGCACTTGTTGGGGGAAAGCATAGAAAACTGCAATAGCGCATTTCTCATTTTATTTAATTAATTAATTTATTTAAAGAATAGATTTCGTCGTGTTTTTTTTTTTTTTTTTTTTCAAGATCCACTTCATTTTTATGCATACGAGAGCTGGGGCACAGGCCAGAAGTGCCAGGGGGTAGGGGGGGTAAGGTGAGAGGACTCACCAGGGACTGAGTGGGAAACAGAATAGGCAGACCTACTGAAACATACTGCTGAGGGGAGCAGCAGGCGAGCCAGGAGAGGCCCGCTGCTCCATGTCGGTCCCTCCCTGGCCAGGGACCGAACTTGTGCATGCAGTGGCCTCAGCCAGCCTCCCAACCCCCTGCACCACCAGGGAGGCCGCATTTCTCATTTTAAATAGACACTCACCATGCCTCCTTTTTCTCCACTGTTAGGACTGGCCAGTTTTCCAGCTAGCATTGTTTGCTCTTTCTTGGAAGGGAAGGGATAGTCTTCTGTTGGACTCCTTTAGAAAGAATCTGAAACCACAAAAGTTGCACTTTGAATATTAATAGAATTATTTGTTTCAAATCAGCATTATACAAATTTTTAATTTTGGCATATCTTGCACTTTCAGAAAGTTCTCTTAATAGTTCGTATAATTGAGTATATTTAACAAAAATTTTTATGGTCTTTATTCTAGTGTACTCTTTCTAGGTGGTGTTAGTTAATTATGTGACTTTGGTATGTACTAGTTATATTTTAGGAATGTGTTTGCTTTAGGTTGGGGGGAGGAAGTGTCTGATAAAACTTTTTTTATGGGAAACTTAAAGTATTCACATAGTAGAGAGACCCCTATATTGAATCATGTATCCATCTCCTGTCTTCACTAGTTTAATGCATTGCTCGTCTTGTTTTATATGTACACTCCTCTCGTTCTCCTCATTACTTCCCGTCCAGCTCCCCAGTGATTTGAAGGAAATCCCAGACATCATGTAATTTCATTGAGAGGTATTTCAGTGTGTATCTATAAAAGAAAATCAAGTTATCTGTATTCCCTGTGAGTTCTAGCTAGCTTTGTTGTGAAGAGGAAGTCCAAGACAGCTTGGAAACAGGCCTGCACTTACATTTTTTTATTGTAGTGAATTTGCATTTAGAAAGATCAAGAGTTTATACTACATACTTGGATATTTTATTATTACAGTAAATCTCAAAGGATTTGAAATGTTGATTTTGTAAATCATATCAAAGAAAACATTATGAATTGCCATCATGAATACGCATGAAGCTTTGTGACAGTTCTCGACCTGTGCGGTTTGCTTGTCATTTGTTCATAGCCCTCCCCCCCCCCCCCCCCCCCCCGCCCCCAGTTTGTCTCTTTATTTAAATGCTGAGAAACAGGTAGAACACTTAGTTTCAGAGGATATTCGATAAACCTCTGTGTACGTGAGAGGGAGAGAACAGAGAAAATTTATGCTGCAGACCCGGGAAACCTCAGAGCCCAGGTGTCTTAACTGTGGAGGAAGAAGTCCCTCCTCACTGGGGCTCAGCCAGCCTCTCTCCCGGCCTCATTTTATTCCTCTGTCCTCTTGGCTCTCCCTTTGGTTTTGTATCTTTTTTCTTTTGGTCGTTTCTTAACTGCCACTGGCATTTGTGATCAGGAAGATTGCTCAGTCCTCCCTTAAAGGATGCTTTTTTATTACATGGGGATTGTGAGATAAATTTTAAAACCAAAGTATTTCAAGACTAATTTGTGCTTGCTTTAATAAAGCTTTAAAAAAGTGTTTGTTTAAGACTTCTTAGTAGATCCAACTGTTCTATATTCTGGGTGAATATTCAATGTATGAAAACATTAATATAGACTTTACGGTTAACTTTAGATGCGCTTGCTGAAAAATTGTGTAATAGTCTTTCCCTTTTTTGTGTTTTCTCTTTTGCTGCCCATTTAATGGATGAAATGGATTCTCTTCAAATTGGACTCTGCAGTTCACAAGATTCCTTTGCAGTTCACCTTTGGAGGTAAGAGTTTACTCATTTACCTTGATGCTGGAATTGCTAATTGAGCATCACTGTTGGTGTCTTTTACTAGGCATTTATTGGTAAGTTTGGAGGGATCATTTTGTTGTGACGTACTTTAATGTTAATGAGATGAGTGCAGAGTTTTTTCCTCAGAGGAATTCCTGTAAGTTATAAAGCTGTTCATCTCCAAAACAGGTCATTTCTTCTTTTAAGTACATTTTCTTTTGCAATAAAGAGAGTAAAATCAATCCTTCATTTTACAGCGTCTTATTGTAGCTCTGTTACTACCATAACTGTTTAACGTCAGCCTTCCTCTTCATAAATGGTCCTGGTGTCAAGAGTGAGCTGGAGAATCACAGGCAGAGGCTGTCAGCAAGGAAGTTTCATTTAGTTGAGAGATCATTTGAAAATCCAGAATAGGATGCAGAGGCGCAAAGGACTTGCCTTTCCCTGGGCTCTTAAACACAGGCTCTATTCTGGCTGCTTCGTTCCCCTTCTCATCTAACGCTCCCGTGGTTTTGCAGGGTGGACCTGAGAACCAGTGATAAATTCTTTGATAAAGAAAGAAGTATTAGATATTCCGAGAATTAGATATCCTTGTGAGCTGATGTTGATAAATAACTTGAAGAGGATCAGTGAGACTTCAGGAAAGGAGTAGGCAAGGGAGAAGCAGGGCATGCGCACAGGAAGTTGGGTTAACACCAGCTGGGTCTCATGTGGGGTCCTCACTATCACCAGCTGGCACTGGGAAATCTCACCCTCCCTGAGCATGAGTTTTCTTTTCTTTTTTTTTTTTTTTTTAAAGATTTATTTATTTATACAAGCACTGGGTACAGTCAGAAGCACAGGAGGGTGAGAGAATTCACCAGAGCCAGAGCGGGGAGCAGAACAGGCAGACTGACGAAGAAGTACACTGCTGAGGGGAGCAGCGGCCTCAGCAGGAGAGGTCTGCGCGCCATGTGGGACCCTCGCTGGCGGCTGGGGATCGAACTGGCGCTGCAGAGGCTGCAGGCAGCTTCGCAGCCCAGCGCTCAACTGCCGCGCCATCAGGGAGGCTCTTCTTTTTTTTTTTTTTAAAGGTTTATTTATTTATATAAGTGCTGGGGCACAGGCCAGAGGTGCGGGGTGTGAGAGAATTCTCCAGAGACAGAGTGGGGAACAGAACAGGCAGAAGGACCGAAGTACACTGCTGAGGGGAGCAGCGGGCGTGACAGGAGAGGTGTGTGGGGCCATGTGGGTTGCTTCTTGGCAGGCCAGGAATCGAACCGGGGCTGCAGAGGCTGCGGACAGCCTCACAGCGCTCAACCCGCTGCGCCACCTGGGAGGCCCTGAGCATGAGTTTTCTTACCTTTCAAATACAGTTAATAATTCTGATCTTTCAAATGAGCAGTCAACTTGGGAGCAGCTTATAAAGTGTTGTTCAAATTTTAGTAATCTTTTATATTCTCTGCTTAGGCTGTTCTTCACTCCCACACAATAAATTGCTGGCTTTCACTTAGTCTCTCTTTTGTTTCTCTTGTTAATATCACTCTGTTCCCCTCCTCACCCCAGTCCCCAGCATGTCAAAATGATTTCCCCAGGCCTCCCTGGTGGTGCGGGGATTAAAGTCTCAGCACTATCAAGCTGTTGCCAGCCACTGCAGCCTGAGTTCCATCCCCGGCCAGGGAGCTGACCCACATGGTGCAGCAGACCTCTCCTGTCTCGCCCGCTGCTCCCCTCAGCAGTGTGTTTCTGTCAGTCTGCCTGTTCTGCTCCCCACTCTGTCTCTGGTGAATCTTTTCACCCCCTGCACCTCTGGCCTGTACCCCAGTTCTTGTATACATAAATAAAAAAAAAAAAAATCTTAAAAAAAAAATTAAGATTTCCCTGTTCAGGTGGAGCCTGCATACGACGTCGTCTCCGAGGCACACGTTCCCTCTTCTGCCTCTGGAACAATGTTCCTGCGATAGTGAAGCTGTTACTGTCGTATAGTGTGGCCCAGCCAGGGACATGGACCTTTTCTGGTGGCCAGCTTGAAAGATTGCCAGGGGAAACTAACCAGACCACGGAGGTTAGCGCCATCCGTGTCTGGTTACTTTTCTAAATAACCAGGATCAAGTGGAAAGCAGTTTCAGTGGTAGGATCCTAAGCTTTGAAATGAGAGAGTGGATGGCTATGAGCAAACCATTTAATCTTTTGATTAAAATGGAGATAATTCTTATTTATTGGGTGATAAAAATGAAATGAACATGATCCCTGTCACAATGTTTTTAAAAAATGTTTAGAAATGATAAAAATAAAACCATAAAAAACTTGAAGACAGATAAAAGTGATATAACCAGTTCTTCAGTGGAAGAAGCACTTTCTAGCATAGAACGGGAAGTAACTCAAAAAAATCCATAATTCTGTTCATGAAAGCAAATGTAGTCAAAAGGCAACTGGAGAAAAAAGTGTGATAAAAAGTTATATATAGTTAATATGATCTCAGAATCAGTTTTAGATCTCTTAGAATCAGTTTTAAAACATACTATTTTTTTGCATAATATTTGGTTGGATTTTATCAGCTTGTTGATGAAATACAAATGGCAGTGAATGTTTTGTAAGTTTAACCTTAAAAGTAATCGAAGAAATGTGATTTAAAGCAACAGTGCTATGCAGTCTTTCACCTATCAGGATTTCTCTGCAAGTGAATTCTTGTGGAGACGTGATGAGATGGGATGTTTTTAAACTTCATCATTTGCAGAAAGCAATTTGGTCCTACATATTAAGGACCTTTTATAAATTCACATCTTTTGCTTGAGTAATTTTGGTCTAAGGCTCACTACCAGAGAAATCTTCAAAGAGGGGGATAAAACTTGCACAAACGTTTGTTACAGCATTACTTATAGTGGTAAAATAAATTATAAACAAATAATTATGCAGTGTTGTGAAAAGGTCACGTAACTCACGGTACAGCCAATCATGTGGCAGTGGTGTGAAAAGGTCATGTAACTCACGGTACAGCCAGACATGTGGCAGAACCCCTGCCGCCTGCGTGTTCATGAGTGATGTGGATGAGCCAATGAAAGTGCTTTTGCTAAACTAAGAGATAAAAGCAGGATGGAAATTATACATGCAGAACGCAATTTAAAAACATGAATGCAGAAATTGGAAGTTAGAAAGGAGACAGACAAAGTGTTAACATTAGCTACAAAATGTTAAATTGTTCTACTGTGCTCTTCAAAGAAGGAGCCCCAACAGAAGAGGAGTTGGATTTTCTAGTTTTGGGGTGATGGCTCTTGTCAGTGTTGGACTGGGGTGGACACGGGGAACTCTGATGGATGTGGAAAATAGGGTCTGGACTTGAAAGGAGGGGACTTGGTGATGAGAGAGCGCTGGTAATCTTTAGACTTAACTCACGGCAGCGAGAACTCAGGGGTAGCCAGTAATAGGGGTTCTGGGCTGAAGGCAGTCATTGTGCCTGGCTCCCCTATGCAGAGGTACTGGGAGGGCACTTTAGTGGGGCAGGTTACAGGTTGAAGATGTCACTAGACAGTGACAGAAATACTTGTAAGTACACCTCTCCTGTAGACTTTTCTCTAGGGGAAGCCCATTGCAAGAGGACCTTTTTTTCTTGCTTGAAATTGTTTCTTGCTAAGAATATGTTTCCATTCTTAGTAAAGGAGTAGTATATAGGAGGTGCTGAATGAATATTTGTTGACTGAATTAATGAACAGATGTCTAAATAAGGTTGATGGGAATAAGGCTGAACCTCGCACATCCATAATTTGGCAGAACTCAGCTAAGAGCACACAGGTCTAGTGTTTAGGTTTTGATATGGTTGACAGTCTTTCTTCCTAGCTAGATTGGAGGTGCGTAGAGGGTCAGGATCTTTGGTGACTTTGGTTGCTCTGAGGTGTAGATAGAATGGTGGTAGTCATACACCTAGCACCAAATAAATCTATGTACTTAATTACCTCTTGCTACTCTGGTTCAATATTGGAAATCTGTGTGTGGAAGCTTTAGTCTTTGGTGAGAAGTAGAAGGGAAAATATCACAGTGAAAGTTTAGTGACGGTGTCTGTTATTTTCTGTCTGATCTGCTTTCTCCACTTAATCATCTGGGGTTGTGTTTTGCCTTGGCTCAAGCAGTCTTGTTTTCTTACTGGGCTTATGGACATGGGGGAGGAAGGCAGAAAGCAAGCTTAAAAGATGACCAATATGCTTTCTTTGACTGAAGTGTTTGGGAACTATTTTAAGGGCTTTCTGTTGCTATTTTTCCAGCCTGGAATTTCACAGGGGCCGCCTTGTGCGATAGTGAGTGGCTGTTCCCCCCAAGTCTCCAGCAGCACAGCGCTCAGGGATCTGCTCTTCTGCCCCCACAGAGCCTGAGACCCAAAGTTTAGCCAAGGAAGAGAATGTGGGGAGAATATTTGATTTGCCATTAAGCTTTTGTTTTAGCTGCAGAAGGAAAGTGATGAATATGGTAAATACCCAAACGTCTTTCCTAATTTTAAATAAAAGTAATTTCAGGAGAGACAGTAAAATATAAAACTTGCATTTAAAAACGAAGGAGACGTTGCCTTTCCCTTTGTCCACAAAAACAAGTGTGAGAGAACCAAGCCCCTTTGTTGTGAAGTCCTGAACGGTTAACCGCCACGTGACTCTAACAGCACTGTCAGGTTATAGTAGTGACATCAGTAATTTGATCTGCTGTCATTTGAATGGAGCCATGTGTGGGGAGTCAGTTACCTCCCTCTGTGGGGCTGACCCTTTTACATTCTTGTAAGCTGAAGACTAATAGAGCTCATTAAGCTTTATGGGAAAAGAGCTTTTATCACCTCGTCAAGTCAGGCCGTGTATTTCCATTATATTCCTGATTTCGTGGGGCTCTGCAGCCACTGCAGTGCCCGCAAGGTTGCACGGGACCTCTCTCTCCCGGCGTCTTTATTGATATTTCTAGGTCTGAATGACATTTTGTGTGGCACCACCTACAGATGTCTTCAATTAATGTAGGTAAACAAAAGGGATTATATATCAGAG